ATGACTGGGGACCAAAGGGGGTCCCCCGGTCACCATCCGTTGCTGTGTTGCTGGCCGCACTGGTCATGATCAGTATGAGTGGGTTGTTCATCTTGTTCATGCTTGCCGGGGAGAAGTAACCGGACTGGCGGCCCCCACAATAGATGGGGCTCTGTGTGTGTTCGGGTAAAAAAATAAAAAAAAGAAAAGAAAATACGAGAGACAAGAGCAACTCAGAAATCCCACATTTCGGTACATCCATGCCAGGACTTACTACATCCTATCGCAGATCCAAGACCATACCACTGCCTTGCTACCTATTCCACAATGGCTACAACCCAATTAAAAAAAAAAAAAAAAAAAAAAAAAAAGGGACAGCTCAGACAACTTCTGGCCCGAGACAGCAACTTTTGACCCCAGATTTTATTTTTTTACTTTTTTTTAATGACCCGAGAATTCGAACTCAGACTACCTTCGTCCCCCAAATACAACGTACGGTCATTATAGCTGTATTTGGGGTATCTTTCAGTCTAAATTCAGCTATAATGACCGTACGTTGTATTCGGGGGAAGAAGGTAGCCACTGGTTACGACCCATGGACTTTCTGTAGACTTGTTCTACCCCATTCTCTGGGCCTCGCTCCACCACTCACCAAATGTGCAAAATGAGAATGAATCTTCGCTAGAACATGGGAGGGTACACTACCATATTTTTTGTCTTTTCTGCATGTGGTCAGTATTGGAGCGAGGCCCTCTGACTCTGTAGGGCTTCCTCCAAGACTGCTTCCCAAAGGTCTTTGACTGTCCTTCGGAACATCCGTTAAAATTGGGGGTACGATACACAGAAGATTTTTTATTTTTTTTATTTTTTTTTTTAGCACAGGCCCTGCACAAGGATGAAAAAAAAAAAAAAAAAAAGAAGGGAAAAAAAAAAAGGTCTTTGACTAAGAAATGGACTGGACCATATTCTATCGGACTGAAGAACCACATTTGATGAACTGTGGGACGTTTCTGACGTCCAGTCTCGGACCAGACTTCAAAAGGAATGTTCCTGTGCTGGATTTGGACCCAATTCATTGCCGAACCAGACTTCAAAAAGAATGTTTCTGTGCTGGATTTGGACCCGATTCATTGCAGTTCAGGATGTCGTTACTTCTTCCCTTCCCCGGTCTAGTGACATGAAACCTGGTTCAAAAACAACGAAGCGGAGGGGTCCAATGACATGAAACCTGGTCCCAAAGCACCTGGTCCCAAAGCACCTGGTCGAAAAGCGCCTGGTCCAAAAGCACCTGGTCCAAAAGCGCTGGTCTGAAAGTGTCTGGCCCCAAAGGGCCTGGTCCAAAAGTGTCTGGTCCCAAAGGGCCTGGTCCAAAAGCAAGGAACTTGACCCCTTTTTTACTTTTCAAGTAGTTTGCAGCTCAGGGACGCTGGACCCGGTTTCCAGCAAAGGCACAAGCTGTTTTTTTTTTAGTCCCAGTTACCTCCCGGCTGAAATGTCGAGGGATTCCCAGCCTCGCTTGGCCCTTATGGAATATACTGCAAATTATCACAAAAAAAAAAAAAAAAAAAAAAAAAAGCGAGGAACCAGAGGATTCCGGAGGTTGTTACTTCACTCACTAACCTCATCCAATGAGATGACACCTGGGGCGTGGTCCCATTTGCAAAGAGGATCGGATAGAATGCCTGAATCTGGACGTGTTTGTAGAGAGGTGCAGGAAATCGAGATTGAACTGCTTTTCTGCATCTCTGCATAAAACACATCCAGATTCAGGCATCCGATCGGATCCTCTTTGCTAGCGGGACCTCGGCCTTGGTTAAAAAAA